AACAACAAAAAAAACATTAACAAAATAATCAAAAGGAAAAAACTAATTTTCTTCCTAATTTCCTTTTTACCGACCGTATTGTGTAAACAATAGGTAGGTTATGTGATGGCAACAAATTTTGCATATCGAGTTTTCGGTGGGAACGTACTTCTCCATAGTAGGGAAGTGTAAATAAACTGTTTTTAGCAACCTGTCGGTCTGTCGATCTGTCGGTCTGTCGGTCTGTGTGTGCACGCGTGTATCTCAAGATCGGCTGAACCGATTTTGATGAAATTTTATATGTAAGTTTGTTTCCACCTTGGCACGGATCGATCAACTTTTGGGATATATCAGGCCTCGGGAACTGCACTTTTTAGCGGGCCTGTTTTACATTTTTGACCATTTTAAAGAAAGTATTCAACCGATTTACTTGAAATTTTATATATAAGCTCAGCTCGACCGTCCGCAAAAATTTGTATGTTTTGGAGGAAATCAGGCATCGGCAACTAGACGTTTACTACGGGCCAAATATACATTTTTGTGTATATAAAGAGAAATAATCAACCGATTTCATTGAAATTTAATATATGAACTCCTCGTATTAAAACAATGAACATATAAATTTTTTGGAAAGATCAGGGCTCGAAAACGGATTTGCGGGCCGATTTTACATTTTTCACCATTTTGAAGAAAGTATTCAACCGATTTACTTGAAATTTCATATATAAACTTTACTCGAACATACGCAAAAATTCCTAACTTTTGGAAGAAATCAGGCATCAGCAACTGGGCGTTTACTACGGGCCAAATATACATTTTTATGTATATAAAGAGAAATAATCAACCGATTTCATTGAAATTTAATATATGAATTCCTCATATTAAAGCAATGAACATATTACTTTTTTGGAAATATCAGGGCTCGAGAACTGATTTGCGGGCCGATTTTACATTTTTCACCATATCCACAGAACAAATTGATGAAATTTCTTGAAATTTGATATTTGAGTTCTGGTTGTTACCGAAACTAACTGGCGAGCATTTCAGGGAATTCGGGTAGCACAAAGCGAAACTCTACTAAGAGCCAAATTTACATTTTTCTAAGTATGTTAACTATAAGCTTACTAATGTCCTAAAAATTTGAAAGAAGTATTTAACAGACATTTTTATAATATTCTGTAACACTCTCATTTAACTAGACAATACACAATGCGGTCGGTTATGTGCTGACCACATCAGATTTTTTTTCTATTATTGTGCAGTCAAGGGTTCTATATAAGAACAAATCATTTTTTTGATTTTATATTTTTGAAAATAAAGGCATGTTTTGTTAGACCTAACTGTTAATATATTAAAATATCCTTATAGACGTAAAACTTGCCATTATTTTAAAAGTAACTTTGTGTTTTTTGCCAGTGGCTTTTCTTAAACAAAATTACTCAAAATTTTTGATCTTTTTTGATAACAAAATATTTTGAAATTTTTTTTTATTTTTTATTTTTTTAATAATAATTTCTAAAGATGTTATTTATTCAATTATTTCATATTTTGTTAATAAAAATATACCGTTATTCAATAAATAATACAATATCCTTTAATCATTATAATTTTTTAAAATAAAGGGGTCATTTTCTTTATTTAATGATTTGATGTATTTCGAACAAAACAAACCTATACATATAAAATAAAGGATCAAAGTGTAAAAAAGGATTTTAAATATTCTCCCATAATAATATAAAATCGATGACTTTGACTAATTAAAATTATTTTATTATTTTCGCGATATTAATTATAATTATTAGTGAAATGCAGTGCTACCAAAATTGAAAATTTATCTTCAAAATGAAGGTTTTTTGTTTATATTTTTTATACAAAACTTCAAAATAAGATTCTTAATATCTTTAAATTTTACATAAGATTCTTAAATATCTTCAAAGTTAAGGTTTTTTTAATGCTAATGAAATTTTTCAGAATTTTAATTTTTTACATATTTTTTCATACTTTCCATAAATATTTTAACCAAAAAGTTAATTTAATAGGCAACGCATGGTAATACTACTTCCATGACAAAAAATTTGTGATATTTTCTGCAGCAAACAATTCTTTAACAATCGACTTGGCAAATTAATTAAACCCGTTCACAGTTTATGACATCATATGACATTGTGCACATCATTAGTTTCCCCTTTTGGTGTCCGATATCATTCGAATTGAAGTCGTGATATTTTAACTTCCTAATTTTTCTTAAACTTCAATTAAAGATGTCGAAGGGTTCGTGAAAATTTTTGTTTTATCGAATCTTCAAAATGTATATTTTATTTTAAATGAATGAGATATTTGCGGTTATCTATTTGACAGCAGTGCTGTGAGATGTGAAATAATTTATAAAAAAATCATCATAATATTTCGATAAAATAAGAATATTACGAGGAATATTTTAATAATATTGCAATTGTTATGCTTTTAATTGGCCCCATCAAATATTTTAACTTTGATACTTTATACATTATACTTCCATATAGCTATATAGAGGTACTATTTTAAATTTTTTGAATAAAAATTAAAATAATCAGAAAAGTTTAGGTGTAATCTTGTTAAAAATCTTATTTTAATTCTTATATAGGTATATACTGTATATATTGTACAGGTAGAGGTATTTTATATATAAGAACCTATTGTTACTCTCTTGTTATATTGAAAAATTACCTTGACAGGATTTTAATGGTTTTTTTTTTATGAATTGTATTGTGTATACAATCATTAAAATTGCTTTTTTGTTATTTTTTTTTTCATAAAATTAATTAATCAAAATTTAAGGAAAAAAGCAAAAATATACCAGAAAGAAACACCAAACTCAAAAAGTTGGTGTACAATTTATTGTTCAAAAAAAAAAAATTTTTTTTCGTTCAATATTTTTACATTAAAAGAAAGAGTTTTTCTTTTTATTTTTGATAATAATGAGATAAAAGATGATTATTAATTAATTTTATAGAAAGTTTTTTTTTGTATTCATAGTTAAAAAGAATCAAAGAATCCTTCAAACATTTTCTTTTAAATTTTGTTTTTTTAATATTATTTTACATCAAAATAAAAATTTTTAGAAAGGTGAAATTTGACCCAAAAAGATGATTTTTTAATATGAAAATTAAAAGAAAATTTTATAAATAAAAAAATTCTACTTACAAATATTAAGAAAACCAAAAAAAAAAAACAAAAAAAACCAAAAAAACAAATAAAATTTGATAAAATAAGCAATAATTCATTTCATTCATAATAAATCTTTGTTTTTAATTTTAATAAATTTCTCTTGTAATTTAATTCAAGTAAATCCGAAAAAACTTTTAATTTCATATTATCTTAGTATAAATTAGCTATTTTGTTTTAAAGATTTCATTAAAATTTTGGTATTAAATTGATCCTTGACGCATAATATCTAAGGTTAGGTATTCTTCCAAAAATTATGTTATGAGTTGTATAAATAATTTTTCGAATAATCTTTCAAAATCTTGAATATGTGTGAGTATAAAACTTACGTAGGCAATTATAATATTATGGACTCAATTCAAAATTATGGACTTCTAATTTAAGTTGTTATCAATTTTGTTTGTCTCCATATTGATTTTAAATTTATGAATTTTCATTGCAGTGTACAGACAGTGATGTTGAGAGTTAAAGTAAGCAATTTATACAACCTTTCTACAAATATAATTATTTGCAATCAGGAAATTTCAATAAGTAAACTTTCTAGTATACGATTTTATTTGCCGCTCTCGAATTCAAAATTTGAATTCAAATTCTATAAAACTACTTGGACTATCGAGGAGCCCCTGGTCACCTCCAGCTTAATATTAATTTAAAAATTTACATAAAATAAAATCAATTTATAAAAATTATTACAAATAACATAACATTAGAATATTAAAATTAAAATTACAACTCACAACTACAATACATCGACGAATTTTTCCCTTAAAAAATTCAGTTTAAGTGTCCGAAACACTAAAAACAATATAATTGATTTTTTCAATTAACATTATTGACTGATTTTCTTTAAATTTTTATTAAAATTTTACATTTTCGAAAGTTTTGAACTAATATCAAATTTAGCATCTAAAATACTAAAAGATAAATTAAGGACTCAATTAATTTAAATTTTAAAGCCATTAATAATATTACGACTAAAATCAGACCCTATAGATTGCATTAAAATAACTGCACGTACATTGCAGCTTATAAAAAGAAGCAATAATTTATTAGTTAATAACATAAATTACAGAATTTAATTGTATATTTAAATAGCTTCCAAGCCTATTATATTTCATATTGCAATCAATGTTGCATTTTTCGACCTCGTTATAAAAAAAAAGCAGCGACATTATAGATACTTAAGAGTTTGTATTCTTTATGGTGACCTAAGTAACAAAATCGTTTTCTTTAAGTTTACAATTTTATAATTATTAATCTACATAATTTTGAGTATTTTCGATTTACACAAATAAAATTTCCCACAATTTAATTCCATATTTACAAAGCACTTACACATACAGATTTAAACAATAATAAATAGATTAAATAATAGTTGCCTAGAACTTTATTTATTCTTTCGTAATTCAAGTTCAAATGTGTATTAAAAAAAAGACATGCTTTCGCATTGTAAAACGTATAGTGCTACTGATTATTTGTCCAGATTAATTATAATCCTCATTGGTCTATAAATAAATTACAAACCTTCAAAACTCTGATAACTGAAGATTTTGATTTGATAGATAAGAAATCAAAATAGAGGGTATAAAAAAATTCTTAAATGAGTTGGTGGCTTAAGAATCTTATAAAGAAAATAGAAATAAATCCGAAAATATGCAATCTATTTTGATTTTAATCAAAACACTCTAATCGTATAATTTTTTTACTATCGCAATATTTGATTAAACAAACAAAAAAAAATGATATCATTGATTAGATATGAAAATTGCAAAAAAAAATGTATAAAAAGCTAGAAACTTCACAGAACATTCGCATTTTTCATAATATATACGATATAGTGAGATTTGAAAAATTGATCGCATCATGAAACTTTTATTATTATTAACAATTACCTTGTTTGCTTCCGTTTATGGAGCATCAGTAGCAACATTCTCACAAGGACGTATAATTAATGGTCGTGATGCTCAACCACATGAAGCACCATATATTGTTTCATTAAAATCCGGTTTCTGGATATTAAAAAGTCATACATGTGGTGGTACAATCATTTCACCAGAATGGATTTTAACAGCTGCTCATTGTGTTGGTGGTAGTTCAATTGATGTTGTAGCTGGATTACATGATCGTAGCCGTGAATCTGGTACACAAGTTATATCAGTTGCCAAAAAAATTTCTCATCCAAAATATAGTGGTGGTGTTGGCCCATACGATATTGCTTTATTAAAATTATCAAAACCATTGAAATTAGATGATAAAGTTCAAGTTGCCAAAATACCAGAACAAGACGGATTACGTGAAGGTGATGCTGATTTATATGGTTGGGGTAAAACATCAAATGGAATTTTCCCAAGTTTACCAAATATATTACAAACTGTTCATACACATTTAATTAATTATGATGAATGTAAAGCTGCTTTACCAAGTGATGCACCAATCACTGATTTAAATATTTGTTCTGGATCATTAGATAAAAATATTTCAGCATGTAATGGTGATTCTGGTGGTCCATTAGTACAAAAATCAGAAGATGGTACTGAAGTTGTTGGTATTGTATCATGGGGTTATATGCCATGCGGTGATGAAAATTTCCCATCAGTTTATACTAAAGTATCATCATACTCAGATTGGATCCGTGAAAATATGAAATAAAGAAACTAAATTGCTTTCCTTTGGAAAAATTTATAACAATATTTAAATTATGTGATTTGTAAAATGAATAAAAAAATATAGTTAATTTAAATTTGAAAAAATTTTCAATTAAATCTATTTTGAAATATACATTTCTAGCTATTTTCTATCAGCGTAATAGGGGGAAGAGATTATTCTATCTATTAATAATATTTTAAATGCGCTAAAATGTAACATTGAGCGAAAAATCTTTAAAACAATCTTCTAACTCAAATCTTCTAACTTAAATTAACTTACGTGATTTTTGATCTGATAGTAGCCAATATTGGAACAACAGGAAAAAAACGTGTTGCGCTATTGAAATTGCAGTAAAATGTTATTCATTCCTTGTTAATTCCCTTTTTTAACTATAGAATAAATAAGGTGCACTAAACCAGTATTTAAATTTTCTTCTTCCTGTAGGTTTTCTTCTTTGTCTTATTGGGTAGGTTTTCTTGTAATATTATATTTAAAAAACATTCCAATATTAATTAAGGAAACCAAAATTTTCTTTAAATACTTTCTAGATAATATTTTGTATTATTATGTATACAATATGCCTTTTCTAAAAGTATATACATAGATATACAATTATAATGCATATTTATTTGTTATAATATAGTTTCATATTGTTGTATACTTTAAATATAAAATATAAATTTAAGAGATGTAAAAAATGGATTATGGTTTACTGCTCGCATGGGATATTTATATATTGTGTAGCTATACGTAATTTTACTAAACTAGAAAATTTTCATGCATATCCTCACATATATATTAGATGTATGTAATATTCATATATACATATTACATACATCTTTTACAAATTTGGGATTTTTTTGCTATTATAATTTTTATATTATAAACAGACATACGATTATTGTTATAAAACCTAGTCTATCTACTTTATTCCCATATTGTTTTAATTCATATGTATGTATACATTCAAAATAAATGTCTGTAGGGATCACTTGAAATTTTATTTTTACAGAGAATAAAAATTCATACTTTATAAATATGTATATTATGTATATTTTAGCCCAAATTTATATTTTTGTGCTACTACCGTGTTTTTAATGATTTTACATATTCTTTTATATTTATATACAATATCCTTACAATATCTTATGAACTATTAAAATACAGAATATAATACCGAATTTTGACTCTTTAATTTTATTTTACGTTGAAGAAAACTATAATATTATGTTTCTAAATCTTAGGTTTCTATTCTGATTTTAAATTTAGATTTAATCGTTAAGTAATATACCAGCATAGTAATTATATATATATATATATATATATATATATATATATGAATGTATATACATAATATATTATTATCATTATAATTGATATCATATATCAAAATAATATTGTAATAAATAAAAATGTAGTGACTCTGTGTAAAGGGGTAGGATGATATTGCCTTTTTTTATTTAAATAACTCAGAGTACATAATATTTTGATCCTTTAAATTTTTTAAATATTTTAATGATATTTCACTTAAATTTTAAACATCCTTAAAATCATTATAATAGACTAATAAATTCTAGAGCAAGACTAATGAAAATTTTTAATAATTAAAATGATTGAAATTTATGAATGGAAAAAAATAGGCCTTAAAGTGACCCTGATTGACTAATGCGCTAAAACATATTATGTATGTACATTACGTATTTCACTATTTCAATAAATGATGTCTTAATTCCATTAATAATAACAATATTTCATTATTTTCGTCTTGAACGGTGAATTTATATAAAACACCATCTTATTTGGTATAGGAAGCAAGTAAGAGCGAATTGGCCAATAGTATTTTTTAAATTATTAAATTTTTTCTAAGTTTTAATAAAAATTTAATATGATTATTTTCTTATCATTGACAATAAAATGACTTTAAATACTTAAAAGAGTGTGTTATCATCAAGCGAAAATATTTATATAAATTTTTCAATGACATTAGAAAATTTTTAAAAGAAAATTAAAATATTTATTACATTCATTTTATTCTTTCAGGATCATTACATATACTTGCATTAGAACATTATTTACCATCACATGATGAAAATGGTGAATTTCATATACCATATCCACCTACAAGTGAAATTTATGTATTTAATCGTTATGGTCAACATGTTACTACAAAAGATTTAACATCTGGTAAAACACGTTACTCATTCCTATATTCAAAAAATACCAGTTTTGGTCGTTTATCAACTGTTACCGATAGCTCTGGCAATAAAATTCAATTTTTAAGAGATTATAGTAATGTCGTTAGTAGTATAGAAAATACTCAAGATCATAAATCTGAAATAACAATTAATGGTATTGGTATAATGACAAAATTAATAGAAAAAGGTAAATTAGAAATTGAATTGGATTACGATAGTAATACAGGACTATTGAATAGTCGATCAACTGGCGGTGAAACTTATATTTATCAATATGATGAATTTGGTCGTGTAACACGTATGATATTACCAAGTGGTGAAATTGTTAGAATAACATCAGAATTAGCTGATAATAAAGGACTTTCAGTATATGTTCATGCATCAATTCAATCGTTATTCTCAAGAGAACCGGCAGAAAATTCAAATGAATTATTAATATTGGGTGGAGTTCATTCAACAATAATGAAAAAAGGTAGTCAAAATGCTGAAGCTATGATTAAACCAAATAATACATTAGTAATAAGAGATGCAAATGGTGTTGTTGTTGAATCTTCTGCTATTGCACGTCATCCACTATTAGAAGCGGCTTTACCAGTAGAAGCTGAAATGTTAGCAATGTGGTCACATCAAAGTATCACAATGGGTGAAGGAATTACAAATAATATGTATTCAATATATAATTTAATTGGTGATGTTAGAAATCCGCAACAAACATTAAATCGTGAAATCTGGGTTAATAGTTCAAGAGTTATTGGCGTAGAATTTGATCAATTTACGAGTCGCGAAACATTTTATGATGTTAATAGAACGCCACTTTTAATAATAGCTTATGACCCATCAGGGTTACCAAAATCATATTATCCATCAAATGGATATCCTGTTAACATTACTTATGATCGATTTAATCGTATCGATGGATGGAAATGGGGTCCAGCAGAACTTAAGTACACTTATGATAGACATGGCCTCTTATCAGAAATAACTAGTCAACAAGATGGCATTATATCATATGTTTATAATGATTGGAATCTTGTATCAGAAATAGGTGTCGCAAGTCAAAGAAAATTTGTTCTTGGTTATGATGATGCTGGTGGTTTACGTTTTGTTAAATTACCTAGTGGAACAAAACATATATTTAGTATGCAAACTTCAATCGGTTTCATTAGATACACATATACCCCGCCTGGTGGTTCTAGACCATATTTACAACATTATAGTCATTCTGGGGCTTTGTTACAAAGTATTTACCCAGGAGATGGCGCTCGAATTATATATCGCTACAATGCAGCTGGAAAATTAACTGAAATTGTTCATGGTGATGGAAAAAGTGAATTTATTTATAATGACGTAACAGGAATGCCTAGTACAGTTTCACATTCTGAACGAGAGCTTGAGTACAGATGGGACTTTGAATTTACTGCTGGCTTGTTAACAGAAGAACGAATAGATTTTATTGCTAAGACTGGTTTGAGTAATGCCAAATTTACATACGATTATGATTCAAACTTCAGAGTAACTACAATTCAAGGAAGAATAGGAGGACAAAATCTGCCAACACAAGTTTTTGCTTTTGATCCAAGAACAGGTAAATTATAAAAAAAAAAGTTGTAAATTTGAATAATAATTTATTATATTTGTTATTTTAGGGCAACCAAATTTAATTGGGCAGTTCAAGATTTTACATCCAAAAGTAAATCAAACTCAAGTTTTAGATGGAACAGCAACGTTTACGAGAACAATCGACGGACGTTTTCTTGTTACGAAAGTGTCGTTATCTATTCACAGAGTTCCAGTATTTAGAATGGAATTCTCATATGGAATGCACGGTAGAATAACACAAACAAAAACTTGGACAAGAAACATGGCTGTTCAAACTTATACAAATGTTAAAAACTATACATGGGATTGTGATGGACAGTTAGTTGGTGTTGAAGCCCAAGAACCATGGGGATTCAGATATGATGATAATGGTAATTTGTTATCACTAACCTACCGAGGCAATACTATTCCAATGGAATACAATAACATGGATCGAATTGTTAAATTCGGTGAAGGACAATACAAGTATGATTCACGTGGTTTGGTTGCACAAAATGCTCGAGAAGAACGTTTCCATTATAACACTCAAGGTTTGCTTGTCAGAGCTATTAAACGAGGAAGATTTGATGTAAAATATTCTTATGATCATATGAAACGTTTAACAACGCGGAAAGATAATTTTGGAAACGTAACACAGTTCTTCTACAATAACCAGCAACGGCCACATGAAGTCAGCCAAATTTATTCCCCACGCGATGGCAAGTTAATGTCACTGACATACGACGATTTTGGACATTTAATATTTGTGCAAGTATATCGCAAAAAATTCTATGTTGCAACAGATCAAAGTGGAACACCAATAATGATTTTCAACCAGTATGGCGAAGGTGAAAGGGAAATCATGAGATCACCTTTTGGACATATAATTTATGACTCAAATCCATATTTCTATTTGCCAATTGATTTTTGTGGTGGAATTTTAGATCAAGTTACAACACTTGTTCATTTTGCTGATGGCCGAGTTTATGATCCATTAATTGGTCAATGGATGTCACCAAACTGGGAAGACGTTGCTGAGCGTGTAATAACACCAACAAAAATGCATTTATATCGCTTCAATGGAAATGATCCAATTAATATTGATCATAATAGAAATTACCCAAGTGATTTTACAGCTTGGATGAATAAATTAGGAATAAATGTTAGAAACTTAGTACCACAATTATCTAGACCACTATGGGAACAACCCTCATTATGGGGTCGTACGTTAAGGAATCCGATCGCTACTGATTTGAAACGTTCAATTGATAATATTCCTACTATGTCAGTTGAATCTGGTTTCTTAGCTCATTTAAATATACGTAGAATGTCAGACTTTGAACAATTATCAGCTCCACCAAAATCATCACTTAAATTTGATGTTATGAATCCTAAGCCATTAAAAATTGGTTCGGATTCTGATCCACCATTTGGTAAAGGTATTGTTGTATCAAGAACATTTGATGGACAAGCAATTGTTTCTAGTGTACCAGCAGCAAATGCTATTTATCGTGATGTATATACATCAGTATTTAATAGATCAAAATTATTACCATTTACGTTTGTTGTTCACAACGCTCAACAAGATTCATTCTTCTTTGTTAAAGAAGACGCATGGCGAGCTAGTGAAGATCGCCAACAATTAAAACGTCTTCAAGGACAAGTTAATACAACATTCCATGAAATAACACGTGAAAATGGCAGTGGTAATAATTTCTTAGATGTTAAAATACATGGCCAACATGCAATTATTAATTTACGATATGGAACAACTGTTGAAAAAGAAAAACAACGTTTAATGCATCATGCAAAACTTACAGCTGTACGTAAAGCATGGCATAGAGAAAAAGAAGCATTACATAATGGTTTAACTACCAATAATGATTGGACACAATCAGAAATTGATGAAATTTTAAAACAGGGATATGTCAATTTATATGAGGGTGAATATGTTCACGATGTTAGCCAATATCCAGAATTAGCTGAAGATCCATTTAATATTAAATTTACTAAAAAGAAAGCAAATCCAATACGTAAAAGAAAACGACGAGATATTAATTCAATATCATTTCATCAAAAATCATTAAACAAAAAAATATCAAATGATTATATAGAAGATGAAAATGATAATGAAAATAATATCTCATCTCATGAAACAAATAATCAAAGTATAAATCAATATAATAAAAATAATAAATTATTAGGTGATTTAAGTAATTTAGAAATAAATTTTAATAAAAATAATAATAAAACATTAGAAAGTGCGATAAATAAAATGGATTCGCATCATCATGAGCCCTTATCATCGTAACTATCATCCCTTAATTAATTATATATATAAATAAAAACTAAAAAAAAAAAAATAAAACTATTAAAAAACAAATTTGAAAACAAAAAACAGAAATAAGTTATTAAAAAATAATGTAATTAATTTATTTATAAAATAAGAAATGAGAAGAAACAAAGAAATTAATGGAAAACATAAAAAAAAAAATAAATGCTTAGGTGATAAAAATATGCTTTGTTAGCTTAACAAAATGATTGAATACACAAAAAAAAAATGTTAAAAAAAAGTATTATTTATAAATAATTCCGTTTTATAAAAAATAATTTTCATTAACTTAAATGGAATCATATAAAATAGGAATGACATTGTAACAAAATATCATGGCAAAAGTCTCCAAAAATCCAAATTTATTTTCTAATATCAAATTTGTATTTATTAAAATATATTAATTGTTTCATAAAATTAATAATATTAATAATAATTAATTAAAATAATCCAAGGTGAATAATCCATTATTACAGTATTATGTGAAATTTAACAATATTAGACTGATTGACTTATATTTTCTTAGGCATACCATTTGAGGTGATTGTATTATATATTCAAAAATTTCCTATAAAATCAATTCTATTTGAAGCAACATTTAAATTTTAATTACTTAAAATATTAAAAATCTCGATTTTCAACTTATATAATAAATTATTCATAAAATTTCTTTCAATTTCATATAAACTTAAGTATAATTCAATTGAAATTCATAAAAATCAGCTTCTTATCTATTATATTAAGAGACTAAAGCTAATGATATTTTGATGCAATAACTCTACTATAATTACATAAAAATCTGAAACAAAAAAATCCAGAATCAAAATTCAAATTTCTCATTTAATGAATTATTCAAATAAAAAACTAAAATTCACTGAAATTATTATGTGAATTTTTGCAACAAGGATTACGAATAGAATATATACACAAACACACACAAAAGAAAAAATTAAATTAATTTAAAAATATTTAAATAAATAATAATTTAATTAAAAAAAAAAGTAAAAAAAAAAAAAACAAAAAATATGATAGAAATGTATTAAAAATATTTATTAAGAAAAAAAAAATAAAAAAAAAGAAAACATACAGAACACAGGAATAGAATTTAGTTGAATTTGTATAAAATAAAATTAAAATGAAGAAAAAAAAATTATTAAGGAAATTATTTATTATACATATATATTATAAATACATAGGTATATTTCAAAGGCAAAAAAATTATATATATACATACATATATATATATATATATACATATATCAATAAAATATATAAAAAAAAAACTTCTAAAAAAAAAATGACTCGAGCTATTTTGAGACTGGCGTAGGATTTAAACAACTCATTAAAACTATTTAAAAAAAAAAATAAATAAAAACTTAAAATATTTCAAATTAAAAAGTAAAATTTAACAAAAATTTATTATAATTTTATAAAAATGATTAAATGAAATTTTTAGAATTTTCGTGTAAAATGGGAATTATCGTATTGAATATCTCATACTGAAAATATTTAATATTTTATTTTAGTATCTATTATTACTCGTAAAGACATTCAATAGCGAAATAATTCAAATATATTTTATTGTTGAAAAGAAAAATAAATTATTAACACACAAACCGTGATTTTTAAGTAACCTGTTTTCAGTATTAATACCTTATTATTACCGCAATTTTAAGGATATGAGATAATTAATATGTTTTCATATCCATTAGATTTTAATATAATTTAAAATTGAATTATAATAGTAAAATTGAATGGTTTATCATTTTTTCAATATTACTTTTTAATTATCTGAAATTTAAAGTCAAAAGTATTTAAAAGAGATGAAATATTTAATTAAAATTTACTGTTATCATTACTAAAATTTAAATATATATATATTTTAAGTTACTTTATACTCAATTTACTGTAACTTATTATTTCACTAATTTTAATTAAAGATACCATATAGTAGATTGTCCATATTAATGATTCCATACATATTTTCTTTCTATATTCGATATTAATACATGCATATATCGTAAATCTTAATTTATTCTTTTTAATCTATTGTAATTTTCAAAATTTCCATTATTAATTTATAAATTTGAAATGAAATTAATTTTTAAAAAATTTTAATATTTTAATTATTTCCATTTTACACGAAATATAATAAAATTTCATTTTATATACAAATAAAAAATAAATGCAAAAAAAAAATTTAACCTTATAATTTTAAAATTATTATGAGACCAATTTGTGAAAAAAAAAAAATTTTTTGTAAAACCAAAAATCGAAACTGAAAATTTTTAAATTATTACGTTTGAAAAACATTTTTAATTTTAAAATTAAAAAAAGAAAAAAATCTCCTTAAAATATAATTATTATCTATTTCAAAATAAAATAAATATAAATATATTTTGAAAAATATTTAAGAAAAATTAAAAAAAAAACAAAAAAAAAACATAATAATTATATTATATAATTACTAATTAGTATTTTGTATAATGCTCTAAATTCTCAATTGTTTCGGTTTCATATTTATTGAATTAAAATAATTATTATATTTATTGTATAAATTTATTGTATTTGTATTAATAATCAATTCAATTACTTCATAATCATCTAAAATTTTTTGAAAATAATTTTTTCACCATTTTTTATCTGCTTTTATTCAAATTTAATATTCAGTTTTATAAATAAATTTCATAAATAAAATCTGTTGGTTAATTAAAAATTTTGAAAAATGCAAAAGCATTAATTATAAAAAAAAATACGTGTAAATGCAAAAAAAAATTTTTTTTTTAATATAATTTAAATTAATTAAAATAAAAAATAATAATAAGTATTATATCAATCGCATATCAATTTAAGATGAAAAAATAACACAATTTCTATATAAAATACTTAATTTTTAGAATAACAATCTTGGTTTTTTGATATTTTAAATATTTTAATATTTTTTTCTCCGTCTACATTAAATTAAAAAATTTGGGCTAATTAATATCAAATTATTATATAAAAATAAAAAATTTTAACATAAGTATCGAAGTAACGTGAAAATTACCTCAATTTAGGTTTTCACTCGGGTAATATTGTCTTAGAAAAAAATATTCTAAAAATTTAATTATTATAGAAAGAAAGTAAAAAATTTCATAAAAACAATTTTATATAGCAAAGCTTGTAAAACAGTTATTTATTCTTAGCATTTTTTAAAAATTAATTTAAAAATAATATTATGAAAATATTTTCATTCACCTACATTCTATAGTCAAAAGCGTTGCTTGAGCCGATACAGAATAGATAAAGTTTTTAGATTTTCATTTTAGAAATTTATAGGTTATTATTATTTTAATTGAAAATTAAAATTCTTCAATAATATCCCATATCACCTCAAATGATGCACGTCTAAAAAAGTATATGGGTAATTATTTCTTTTTATAACATTAAATTTTGATATGTAAAGATTACAAACAAATATAAGTATTAAGGGCTAAATTATTACCAAAAATGTGCAGACATTTTTTAAATATATTTTAATAAAATTTTCCATAGGCCAAAATATGAAAATATAATATAGACTTTTGAATCGATTCTCAATAATAGTATATTAGTAAACATTAGTTTATCTATTATCTATTTTTAAATTTGAATTTCTACAGTCCCATTGTTTACATTAGCCTAATGCATTTTGTTTTAAATCAGATGAACGAATTACTTCGTACTCGTATAATTCTTTCTACTCGAAAATTACATTATGCCAATATATGATAGTTACTCACTTTTGTCTTACTTGCCGAACAAAATTGCTAGATGCACAATCAAATTCTTAAATCAATTTATTTTTTGAATAATTACATGGAAAAAAAGAATTATTTTGAAAACTTTTTTTTACTCCATTATAACTATCATTTTTATAATTGATAATATTATACAATTAGAGTGAATGAAATAATTATGTTTGTTTTACAATAACAATATTCTTCTTATGGTTTCCAACCAAATACTATAAAAATATAATAAAATGGTTTCATGAAATTTTGAATACTTTTTATACCTCCTAATATTTACATTTGTATTTTTTTTTATAAATTTGTATTTTAATACAATTTTTTCACTTAAATTAAAAAATAGCCCAAAATACATAAAATAAATAAATTTCATAAATACAAATTATACTTTCTTTTTAATTAAAAAATATTCAAAAACCAAAAAAATATTCTATGTATTTATTATTTTTAAAATTTTATATTTGTTAAGCAATTTATAAAATAACTGCCATATTAGTAACTTAAGAATAAATAAGTTTAAAAAAATAAAAATCATTTTGAAATTTTATATTGTAACTATAAATAATTGAAAATACTCAAAAAATTTGCCAGCAGATTTTCTTTTTTTTATATTCTTTAAACTTGTACTTTGTAATGTTCGAATACTTTTATTATTATAGTGTTAGATTTATATACACAAATCTAATATAGCTATAGCAATCTCACAGCAGTTTTACAACAAAATATTATGTGGAACAGATGAAGCTTTATAATTTTTAAATTCTATCATTGCTTGCGAAGTAGATCAGTATCATATTCAACAATAAAAATCTGAAAATTTAGCATTTGGACGTCAGTCGATCATCAGATCAAGGCTAATTTAAATAATTGCTATAGTTAATCTACCAATACCTATATAGTTATATATAAAAATTATTTTTATTTAAATAAAATTCTTTTTTTGTACTTTTCATTTTGTTTTCGGTCCAAAACCAAAAATAATATTATATTTTTTAAAAAATATTATTTATAATTAAATTTAAGAAAAAAATAATTGATATTTAATATGTTAATGTATGTACTTTTGTAATATTGTGTATACACGGTTATAATTATGTAAAATTTGTGTTAATATTTTGTACATGAAATTTTTTTTAGGCAAACTATCATCCGTTATATATAGTTATTGTGTTTTAAAATTCATTGCGATATTAAGGTTTATATGCACATTGTATAAGCATGTTAAAATTAAACGACGAGTTATTCTAATAAGAAAATTTCTTGAAATAAGTAAAATACATACATACACTAATAAAATTAAAAGAAAAAGTTTGTATGCATGAATCAAATAATTTTTATATAACACAATTTTTAGGGTAAATTGCATAATTTATTGAGTGAATGATCTAGCTACCAAAATGTAAAATTAAATGTCATCTTGACTTATACAGCAATTTTAATAAGTCAAATTAAATATGTGAAATTTTAAGAAATTAATTTAAAAAGTCAAATTGATATTAGATTTAGATTTTGGTGTTTTCCACTCACTTTTTTTAAAAATCATTCATTTTTTCTTTCTTAATATGTCATTCTAGTCGTAATTTTTCCCACTTGAAAAAATTTCTAAATATTTTAATTCTATTTTTCTTTAAAACTGACTCTGGTCATTCCACATTATTTTTTTTTTTGATTTTGAAGATAATAAGTTTATTTTTTCAAATTGTTTTATTACTCAAATTAATTCTAAAATTTTTTAAATTGCAAAAAGTCTTAAATAATAATAAATTTCATTTTATTTGTAAAAATTAGGAAGTAATTAATGTTAGTACTAATACAAATTTATGTTTTTTTTTTATTTTATAACGTAAGCATTACCAGTATTATTAAATTTATACCGGTGACATTGTAAACACACAAAATAAGAAACCACTGTATATCCTTGTAAAAAAAAAAATTAATTAAAATAATAATTTTTTTTTTTATTAAAAAAAAAACTGATATTTTAGAATTAAAAATACATCTAAATATATAAAAAAATTCAAATAAAAAAAAAGTTATTATTATTATTATCATTATTGTTGCCAAATATTATCAACTTAAGTAAGAATTTAAATGTAATATGGTATTTCTATTTATATATATATATATATATTATATGTATCTACAAAACAATATGCATATATATAATATATAAATTTATATGTCTAAGTAGGTAAAAAGAAAACTAACTAACATTGCTGGGATATAATAAAATAAAATACATTATTATTATATTATGTTAATAGTATATATTATAAACAAAAAAAATTTAAATAATTTAATAAAAACAAACCAATTATATTATAATACACTTTGTCCAAGAAACAAAAGAAAGAAATAGTTACAATAAACATAATAATGTAGAAATATTATTTATATATGAAAATATCAGTTACATATATATATTAAAAATGAATAAAATTGAAAAAGAAGAAAAAAAATTGATTAATAAAAATAAATATGAAAAAAATGTGCACGGTCTCTCCTAAACGTATACATTATATTATAATAATATTATAATAATAATAATAAATAAATTATAATTATTATTGTTATTGAACAAATACATAATAATTTGACAACAAAATACACACATAACACAGACACATACATTCGTATATCATTAATTAAAATTAATATATAATTTAGAATGAAAACTATATTATATATAATAACGAAAAAAATATACACAAAAAAACACGTACACAACAATAAATTATTAGGTATCTATAAAACAAAACAAAAACAAGAAAAGATATACAAATAAAAATATATAATTACAAAGTAAAATAATAATATTATATAAAACGAACCAACAGAGATTAAATATAAACACTCTAATAAATTAATTAAATAATAAACAACATACACAACAAACACAAAAGGAAATCATATATAATTAAAAAATAATTCATTAAAATAATCACGAATATACAAAGTAATTAAAATAAAAATAAACAAACATAAATATATCTTTCACATAATATGTATGTATATCTCAACTAAAAATAGAAAATAAAAATAATAAAATAATTATTATTATTAATAAAGAAAAACAAACAAAAAAAAAATAGAGTAATTAGTAAAAAACAAAAAAAAAATAAAAGAAGAAACAAAATATAATAAATTTTAATATAAATAATGAAGATATTAAAAAAGAAAAAAACAAAAATAAACATTATTAATTAATATTAAATAAAAATGTACCTATTTTTGTAAATAGTAAAAGAAAATATAGAATGAAAAATAATTACATATACACATAGAAATATACTAATATATTAAAATATAATAATAATAATAATAATAATAATAATAATAATAATAATAATAATAATAATAATATATAAATAAATACAAAATATTAAAAAAAATATTTATATTATATAAAACATATAACAATTATATTTATGTACTAATTCTATATATTAAAAAAAAACAAAAGAAAAAATTAAATGTTGTAAATAAAAGTTGTTTATTTGTACTACCAAAACAAAAAATATAAATTAAATACATATTATATATATATATAATTAAAAATATTATATATAATTAATTTTTTTGTACTTTTATTATTAAAATTATATATATATATTTATAAATATATTATTATTATATATATATAAATTAAAATTGTGTTTAAATATTATGTAAAAAAAAAACAAAATGGAAACAAAAAATTTGAAAAATTCGTAAATTTAAAATATTTTATTAATTATATTATTATATATAGAATATAATGTAGAAGTACATTTATATCTATATATATAGAAAACAAATTGTATCAAAAACAAAAAAAAAATTAAAGATAAAGGAAAACTAAAAAAATAACAACACTGCTGCGAAACATCAAAACAATTATTTTCATTAAAAAAAAACAAAATCTATTAAATATTTAATTACATTAAACTATAAAGCAAATAAAAAAAAAACAAAAGCAAAAATGACAGCTATAACTTTTTTATATAATTCAAAAATTCAAAAATTAAGTTCTTTTATAAGTCAATATTAAATATTTAAAAATATTATTAAACTAAAAAGCAAAACTTAATTTATACATCATGTAGAAATCAAAAACCTAAAAAATAATATAGGCAAATTTAAAGAAAGAGAATGACAACAATGTAAAAAAAATTACAAAAAATCATATTTGTTTTATTAAGCAAGCAAAAAAAAAAATAATAATTAAAAAAAAATACAAACCAAATATGAAATTTTAAAAATTTTCCTTTAAAATGAAAAACAAAGAACAAAAAATTGCATTAAAAAATAAGAAAAAACACAAAAAAAATATTAAAATTAAAAATTAGTTATTTATACATAAAATATTGAATATAGAAAAAAACAATTGTAAATTACAATAAACTATTTATTAAAATTAAAAAAAAAAAGAATGATGAATTTAAAAATAAAAAATAAAATTATTAAAAAAAAATAAATTCAAGAAAGAAAAAAAAATTGTAATGCTCTGTAAATACTAAATATAAATAATAAATATAAATAGATATATATATAATATATATGTGTATAAATAAAAATTATTAAAGAAAAATAAAACTAATAGTTATAAAACAAAAATAAAATAAAATGATTGAAAAAAAAACAACAACAACTTATTAGTGTTTAAGAAATAATTTAATAAAAATAAATTAAAAAAAAAAATAAAAAATAATTAAAAAAAAAAATGTGAAGTTTTTTTCTTTATACCCACCATGAATGACCCAACTGATAATCAAGTATTATGTCGTATGTATACTTTTCTCATAGAAAGACACAATATTAACAACAGAGGTTATAAAGCTCTTTTTTTGCCTTTCAATCACGATTACATATTATATTATTAGGTTCATCGTTATGACAATTCATTATAATAATTCATCAATTTATCGAACTCTCTTGGAGTGTCGAATTCATCAGCATTTTAGTATTAGGTTATATGACTGTGGTAAAGCCATAGACAAATGCAAATGATTTTATGTTCAATAACTATAGGTTTCATTTATATTATGTTCAAATTATTCTTCAATCAATCTGTCGATGATCTGTTCAGATATGCAATTCTTTTTCGGTTAATTGAAATAGTATTTTTTTCGAATTTTAACAGATAGATCTTATATTTTCTGAGTTTTATAATTGAACGCAAATATTTTCCAACTTACCGATAGCAAGAGGCATTTGTTGGAAGTTTTTGAAACAACTAGATGATGATAGAATTTATTCAACTATCTATTGTTTTGTAGCTTTATTAATTTCACCCCAATTTTTTAACGAATATAAAGTTTATCAAAGAACAGAACCATTATGGTATGGTTTTCTAATATAACATAGTTCTGTTAATTTCACCTCAGTTTTTTAACTACATACACACATGCATAACATAAAGTTTATCAATGAATCGAACCAATCTTGTATTTTCTAGTTTTTTTAAATTCACCTCATTTTTTTACCTAATATAAAGTTTATCGACAAACAGAACCAGTGTGGAACTTAATCAATATGCTGAGGTTTTAATATCAAAAATATTTCAAAATTATTTAATATGGATTGAAGTTTGATTTGTGTTGGGTAATAATTGAAAGAGTTTTTTGCAGATCATATAAATCAAAGAGCCGCATACAGTTCGTCGAGTCGGGTGCGGCACAACCAAAATGCACAAAATGTACAATTTGCATTGGAAAAATGCCTCTCACGGCACTATACACAGGTATGAATTGTAAGTCTGGTATATTACTTTTTGAACAAAAATTACTGAAAATTATGCCGTCATCATTTTAACTATATTTAAAGTGTTCTCAAGTTTGGTAAGGTAAAATTTTGTGTTTAAAAACTTTTAGCTTTGAAAAGATATGTTTTTCTGTTGTATGTACTGTCTAATTCTATGTTATATGTACGTAAGCTTTAAAATATTTGCAATCATACCTGTTATCTGTAATTTATAATTAACATTAAGAAAAAAAGAAATTTTGAATTTTTTTATTGTTTTATTTATATTTATCCTTTTTTTATTCTATAACACTCTTTTATACGAGTTCTATTTTATACATATCAAATATGCATACAAATTGTATAATATTTGTTTTCAAAATAGTCCTGTATTTGGAAATAGTTTTTCTAATTTCAATTACCGATTCGACTTAAAGAGATTAATTTGTACAATAATGCCTGTTATGAGTAAAATTAATTTGTGATTATGTATATTAATTAATAATTAAAGTAATGTTTTGAAGGGTATTACCACATTACTGGTTCACGTTTAGCTTAATAAATATCAAGAAGTTGGCAAATCTTAATGCCGGTTTTTTGTACAAAATCTTAGCTTTGCGCTGACACAGATGCTTTTTCTTTTTATCCCAGTTTTATTTTTCCCGCTTAAAATTAAAGTAAATAAAAAGTAAAGTGATGAGACAAATATAATTTCGTCATTAATCGCTACATAATCCAAACATTTTTATTGTAAAATCAAACTACTATTAATCGTAAAAAAAGCAATAATTCTCAACTTATTTAAATTTATAAATCAGATTTTTAAGAATTTTATTTTTTGCGTTACGACCGCTTTTCAAACATTTTTTAATGCCTCCTACAACTGGAATTCTTGGAACGGAATCATCAAATGAAGCTAATGTCGAACCAAATCATGATGAAAATCAATATTTACAATTGATTAAAAAAATAATAGAAACAGGTGAATATAGAAATATATTAGTTTATGCCTTGGTCTAAAGAACAATATTTTTTAAAAATAAATTTTCAGGTGTTAAGAAAGGAGATCGTACCGGAACTGGTACTGTATCGATTTTTGGTACTCAAATGCGTTTCAATCTTCGAGATGGAATATTCCCTTTATTGACAACAAAAAGAGTATTTTGGCGTGCGGTTGTTGAAGAATTATTATGGTTTATACATGGTAAAACTGATGCAAAATTATTACAAGAAAAAGGTATTAAAATATGGGATGGGAATAGTACCAGAGAGTTTCTTGATAAATCCGGTTTCACCGACCGTGAAGTTGGAGATTTAGGCCCAATCTATGGTTTTCAATGGAGACATTTTGGTGCTAAATACGGAACATGTAATGATGATTACAATGAAAAAGGTATCGATCAATTGAAAAATGTTATTGATCGAATAAAAAACGATCCTACCGACAGAAGAATAATTATGTCGGCTTGGAATCCAATAGATTTACCAGAAATGGCGTTACCACCATGTCATTGTTTTATACAGTTTTATGTGTCTAATGATGAATTGTCTTGTCAAATGTATCAACGGTCTGCTGATATGGGCTTAGGTGTGCCTTTTAATATAGCAAGTTACTCGCTCTTGACATATATGATTGCACATATAACAGGCCTTAAACCAGGTGATTTTGTTCATACGATGGGAGATACTCATGTCTACTTAAATCATATCGAGCCATTGAAAGAGCAACTTAAAAGAACACCAAGAGCATTTCCAAAATTAAATATTAAAAGAAAAATAGAAAATATAGAAGATTTTAAATTTGAAGATTTTGAAATTATCGGTTATAACCCGTATCCTAAAATTGCTATGGAAATGGCAGTATAAAATTTAAATGTTTAATAGTTAGTTTCACATATAACTTTTGAGTTTGTACCACAGCTTTTTATGTTCCAAATCGATTAATATATTGTATATTTTTAAAATAATATGGGTTTACATATGCATATGTCTTTATGATGCAAATTTTTGAATTACACACAATATGGTAATTTTTACGTTTTCCATGGTTCTGGATTAATAAATAAATCAGATATTGTTCCCTTTAAAGTTAAAAGTCCTTTATTTAATGGAACAGGCCTTGGTTTAAAAGGTGCTGTTTTTGACCATTCGTCATATAAAATTTTTGCTTGCTGTTCCCTTTCTATCTTTTGCTCTTGTTCTTTTATTAATTTTTCTTTATATTTTTGTTGTGTCACTCTCTCTTTTTCAATTTTATTCTTTAACCATAATTCAAAACACTTTTTACGATCTTCTTCAGTAGGATTGTTGCTACATTTTGTAAGTTTTATTTTTTCCTTATTCCCTTCGTTCTTTTTCTTTTCAAACTTTTCTTTTTCGAGCTTTTTCTTCAACCATTCTTGAAATTGTTCTTGAGCAATTCCTTTTCTTTCCAATTTTTCCATTTGTTTTTTTAATTCTAACTCTTTTTTAAGTTTACTTTCGTATAATTTTTTTGCTCTAAAAAATATATAAAAACTAAATTTAATTCGATTACTACTAATTTTATAAAGAAACAATTTTACTGTTTTGCTTTAAACCATTCTTCAAAAGCATTTGGTTTCTCTATATTCTTTGTAACTTCTTTTATTTTACTATAAGAAAAACATTCGTTTTCGTTGGATGCAAGTGATTCACTAAAATTCAAACTAAGTTTTGGTATATGCAATCCGTCCCCCACAAAAATATCAGATCCATTGGAATGATTCGAATGAAAGTGATCTTTATTTTTTGGTTCGTTACTCTGTCCCGTAAATCTTTCGATAGTCGCTTCTGAATTCTTACTACATCTTTATAAATGTGTATTAAGCGTTATAAAGTTTAATCACACTTTTTGAAAACTCTAAGTTAACTTACCTAGCTTTTTTGTTAGTATCTCTGAAGCTATTATAAATAATTACGGTATTCGAGGCACGGTATTTTTGATTTGGTAGGCTTTCTAAAATCAATGAATTTTCAAATTCAGGACAACTTATACGCGGTTCTATTTTATTTCTATTAATCTGATTTGAATAAAACGCCATTAGAAAATATAATCCGAAACTGAAATGCAAAATCAAGTCTAAAAAACAAGTTATATTAAAAAAACCAATCAAAAATATTGAGTTTAATTTGTTATGTGTCTATGTTTTTTTATTTTAAATTATTAACGTAGAAGTTTCGATATTAAATAATGATAAATATATGATTTAAAAAAGTCGAACAAGTTTATCTGCCAAAAGAATGAATTTGGTTGGCTGATTTGATATTAGTTTTGATGCCTGCTGGAGCTTTTCCTAACGGATTAACTCCAGGACTAACTGAGGCACCCATCGCTGCTGGAGGACGTGGCATCATTCCTGGAGCTCCCGGCGGCATCATTCCTGGTGTAGGAACTTGCATAGATGATTTAAGGCCTTTACCCATACCGATTGCTGCTACTAAAGCATGAGTATCGGTAACACTACTTATTTGAGAAGGACCTAGTTTTAAGATAAAACATAAATATTTAAATTTATACATATTTGCTTAAAGTAATATGGTTTACCAGTTCTAGTATTAGTTTCGTTTTCCCATTCTTCACGAGCTTTACTCACCATATCAAAAACATGTGATATAACTTTGTTATACTGTGTAAATTGTTTCATAGCCGTTTCTGGGAGTAGACTGTTTGCCTGTCGTAAATTAATTAAAATAATATAAATGCGTAAATTGCATTTAGTGTTTCACCTTTTGTTCATGTTGCAGCATGCGTTGTTCTGCTGCAGGTTCAGGTTTTGTTCTTAAATAATCTGGGCATATATCATGAGAAAATACTGGAACACGACCTTCGGTTATTTGTAACAATACATCGTCTGGTTCTGGCGAAAGTTTAAGTGGCAAGACAGTTCTATTACGTATAAATGTGAAATCTTTTGATAAAAGTTTTGATAACCCTGTAAGCTGTACAAAAGTTGTCAAATTATTCAAAAATTTTCTATTTAGGTATTTAAAAGAAAAACTATTTACGTGACTAGAAACAAGTGCAAAATTATCTAAAAATGTTGGCCAATTTATGGTTTCATATTCCGTCTCTAATTTGTGTATCATAGCTCCTATGGATGCCTTTAAATCATTCAATTTCATTAGTATCGCCTCTAACATGGCCTCTAATTGTTTTTCTTCGCGTTGCATTTTTCTTCGAAGAATAAACTGTTTACAAATATATGTTAATTATATTTAAAATAAGTATGTTAATCTAAAATTTGTGATTAATTTTCTTGTTTTTTGATTTTGCTTTCTATTGAAATTGACAAAAAACAAACAGAACAGGAACAGAGTGACAAATGTCAGTTTTTTGACATTTTAATTTTGATTTCTATAATTTAATGCTGCCATTGCTGATTTTTGATATTTTATTCACCTCAAAATTAATGGTGAATATGTATATTTCGTTTCGTTTTTAAAAGTTTTATTTTTTTAAAATCAATAGTTCAATTGATGTAGCGTGGAAAAAATTTGTTAAATTAATATTTAAAATAAAATAAAATAATAAGTAATAATAAAAAATTAAACTGTGAAACGAGTATTAATAACACATGGAGTAATGAAGAAAAATAATGAATTTTAAATTATGAAAAGCATACTTTATTTAGTTGAGTACTCATTTAATTACCTAATAATTTAATTTACTTCATAAACCAGTCCATTTTATTTGTAATTCTGAAAAACTTCTACCACAGAATTTGCAGGTAAAAGAAGTAGATACTAACTTACTGAGGTTTCTTTTTTTTATTTTAGCATTTTTGTCTTGCTCTTCTTTGGTTTTGGTTTGACGTTTATTGATAATAGCAGTTTTTATTGGAAGTACACGGTGCAGTTTTCATAAGCATATATTAATTAAAGCTCAGTCGACCCATAACGCCAAAAATCACCCGATATGGTATCATAAATTCACAAATAATAAAATATTAAAGCAAAAATAGATAATGTTATATATTGTAACCACACAACATGTTTGATGAAAGAAGTATTGTTGAATAATGCACTTCAAAATTTGACAGCCACAAATTTTTTGTTAATTAAGTCGAGCAAAGCATAATCATGATGCAGAGCAGTACTTCAAAATTTGACAGTCTGATATTCTGTATATACATATGTATGAATATGACAGCATATGCAAAGTTAGAAAATTGCATCCTTATTAACTGCGCCATCATATAATTACGAGTACTCATAATTATGCCCATATAAATGTTACTTGACTTGAAGCCGACTTCTTTCAAATTAATCAATAAATTTTACTCGACTTGAATTGTTAATAACAACTTGGTTTGTAAATCAAACTGACATAGTAAAAATTCAATTTGAATTCCAATATCATTTGAAGACAAGTACTGAAGCTGCAAATATAATAAAACGAAGTAATTTAATTAGGATGTACAATCTTGAAGCGCATCTTTGCGTCCTGAATGTGAAAACACAAAAGGTGCGGTTTCCGCGGCGAAATGTAAAAATTCATGTAGGAAAACATTATAATAAATTATAATGCAATATAATGAAACATGTTCAAGATAGAAATTTGACGGTAACAAATTGACAAAATTATGTGAGTTATTAATAATTTTTTTACGATAAGAAATTTAATATGTATATTCGATTTTTATTGTCTTATTTGTATCTTTTATTTTTATTTTAGAACTAAGCGGTTTCTTTTTATAATACTTGAATTTAAAGCAAATTTTTTATACTACGAATGTATGTACATATGTATATTATGTATGTATATATTGACGTATAAAAAATATAAAAAGGAAATTCTTATTTGAAAATATCAGCCTGTTGAAAAGTAAAGTATATACTGGAAATCTTATAATCTTCTCATTATTTTGGTTTTTTCTAAAACAATTTATTTCCACTTCTCTGTCCACTTTCGTTTTATTGTTTTATTTATTATCTATTATTTTACTCTATTAACGTTTTCCTATTTAAATAAGTTAATTTATTTGTGAGAGTTAAGATTCTTTTCATTTTAAATTTAGTTTGTATAATTTAAAGAAAGAACTTGCATTGTGTGCTTCCTTTAAATAATATACATACATTTACATACATGAACTAAATTATATAATTAAATTATATTAATATTATATTTTTTGGTTAGCTATTAGAATCTTAAGAATTGTGAGATAATTTTTTGAAAATAACTTTAAATAGTCGCCGTTCTGCTAAATGTTAGAGAAAGTTTTGTTTAGAAATTATATTTAATTTAGAAGTTCAATAGGAAAATTGCCTTATACATAATATTATAGGAAGATAGGTACAAGGCAAGTACACATATAAGAAAGATATCTACGTACATGTGCATAGTTAACTTTAAAAATAATGTTTGTTTATCTAAAAATTAGTGAATGTTTGTACATTATAATGTGTTAAATCACAGACATCTTTATTGTCATTATCGGAATTGATTGTTAAATTCATAGTTTCATTCTTTAAAATTGAAAAAACATTAACTTATCTACATATACACACATACATACATATATATATGAATTTAGGTATTAATGATTTTGTTCTTTTGGAAAGAACATGAAATCTTCCTGCAGAATAGCTTATTAAGTCGTATAATTTTCTTACATTGTTTTAATAAAGTCGTTTTATAATACGAATTGATATATAAGAAAAGATACGATGGAAAGTTGCCATTTTTACTTACTACCCATAAATTACAATTAATTTACATTATTTAAAATTTGTATGTATATAAAATTATGTTTTGTATATAAATTATAATTGATGATTTTAAAATTATGTAAATTGGAAGTTTAACACAAAAATCTAACATATACTTTTTTGAATTTTGTTTTAATTTCTAAACAAAATCTATACTTTAAAGCAGAATAATTATAATAATTTGTGATGTATGCATTTTCTTCATCGGATTACACAATTAGATAGATTTTCTTAAAAGAATTTATTTTTGGAAAAATTAATTTTGCAAGAATTGGATTGACAATAAAAATGCGCATGCCATGCACAGAAAGAAGAACACATCAAACGGTAGGATAAGTAACAGACCAAGTTCACGTAGCTCACACGTTTGAAATTAAAGAAACCACTGTTTTTTATTGAAAATAAACACTTTGCGGTGATTCAATAAGCTTCTATTTAATGAAATACCAAGTTTTATTGAATTAAAACATAAAAAATTTAAATATACTATTTTGTCGTGATCAGAAATGCAACCCAACTCATATATACATGTTGTGTAATATACATATAAATAGTGCTTACATCAGCCTTCAAATCAGTAATTGCTGATCCGTTATCTCTGACCTTAAAGAGGAGAAAACATCAAATATTTATAGATAATTAAGTGTAATTCTTTTAAAACTTTTTCATTTCCATTATAGATTTTTCAACTTTTTCACCATGAAAATTAACTTTTAAGTTATTCAATTCTTTGTAAAGTTTGTAATTACTGTGTACCTATAATTTTAAAAATGTTGCCAATTAGTTAAGGAATAAATTTATTATTACAAAGTAATCTTCATAAAAATCATTTGTTAAACATTTCCTCTACAAGAGGAAAAAGAAAAGAAAAGCGTTGTTTATAACTAAATAAACATTTTTTTTATATTAAAAATGAAATACAGAGATTTTTTCTTCTCGTAAAGTGTTTAAAACTCTTAAAATTTGTCCAGGTACAAGTAAAAGGGGAAAAAATATGAAAAATCTGATGTGGTCAACACATGATCGACCGCAATGTGTATTGTCTAGTTACAGAAGATTGTGAAAATGCGTTTTGAAAACTTCCTGACAATTTTATGGACACTAGTAAGCTTTTAGTTAATGTTCCTCAAAAAATGTAAAAAATTTATTCTTAGTAGAGTTCCGCTTTGTTCCATTCGAATTTCCTGAAAAGCTCTACAGTTAGTTCCGGTAATAACCAGAAGTCAAATATTAAATTTCAGAAAATTCCATTAATTAGTTCCGTAGATATGGTCAAAAATGCAAAATCAGCCCCTCCGAACCCTGATTTCTCCAAAAAATTTTATACATTCATTATTTTAATACCCCGAATTTAAATATTAAAATTCGAAGAAATTGGTTGATTATTTTATTTATAAATTTCTTTATATACGCAAAATTGAAAAGTTGTCCTGTGATAAAGTTCAGTTCCCAAGGATCTCCTTGACAATAGCCGAAATACACTCACACATAAAATTTCATCAAAGTGGGCTGAGCCGAACTTGAGATACGCGTGTACACACACGGATCTACAAATCAGGCAGACCGACATCTCTCTAAAAGTAGTTTATTTACGCTTCCCTATCATGCAGAAGTGCTCTCCCACTGAAAACTCTACATTCGAAATTTGTTGCCATCGCGTAACCTTCCTTATTGCATACAATGCGCTCAGTAAAAATTATTACTATACAATTTTAACAAAAAAAAGAGAAATTCTTTGTAAAGTAAATTAGAACAACACTTTGTGCTGTTGTAAAACATAGTTACTAATCCTAAACAATAACGACTTAATATACATATACAAAAAAAGGAAAAGAGAATTCTCTTGAGACATCTTGTCATCATTTTCTATTTACTTTCTTACAGTTTTTACAATTTACAACTGTTTGTAATTTTTTCCTGTTTCAAAAACTTTTGTTCACAATTTAATCGTAGAACAAAAAACTAAAAAGCTTTGCAAGAAAGAAATTAGAAATAAAATAAGCAAATAAAATTTATATAAGTATCAGGGATAAATGAAAGGAGAAAACCGAACAATAATAATTGTCGTTTAAGTTTTATATTCGCCTTATATATTGTATTGTAGTCAAGGAAGTAAGTTTTAATAACATAAAAATGTTTTGTAAATAAAGAGTTTTTATACCTTTTTGTATACTAAATTATATAAAAAATAAAGTTAGAGTATAAAAAAATGAAAAAATTATAGAAAGAAAGTGAAGTATCCCTACATTTTTTCCCTGTTGGGACGGCTGTTGATGTTGTTTTGAGTTTTCTGTATTTACTCAGAAATCGCTTCACTGCCAGCCAAAAGCTATTGAAAATGATTATGATAATTTTTGCAGTAATATGTAGATGGCACTATAAATAATTATAAAGGTTATATCTCAAATCAAAGTTTTTTAAGGAAATTTATGTAAAATAGCACGAGAAAAGGCTGTGAGCTGTGAAAAAGAAAAATATTAATGTAAACCCTAAGAATTTTTCAATAAAAAAACTTTTTCACGAAATTTAAAAAATTCAATTGTAAACGCAATTCAGTGTTAATATTATTAACAAGAAGTTCTTTTGTATATT